GGGCAGCTGCCTGCGGCTGTGGATCAGATGCAGCACCGGGTCAGTCACTGCACCGGCCCCAATCCGACCGGGGCCCCTGGGCTGCGTCCCTGCTCTGCTCGCGGCACGAGGAAAGGAGGCCGGGAGTCTCCGCCGCTGCAGCATGTACCCCAGCGCCGAGGGCAGCTCCGCCACGTGGGTCCCCAGAAGGCGCCGGGTCGGCCCAGGATCAGCTGGACGAGGTGCCCCGAGCTGTTGGAGCTCTGCCCGAACGTGGGGCACCCCAGCCCCACTGGCCAGTAGGGGAGTTTGCCAGGAACCCCAGCGCCCCCTGCTGGCACTTCCCGCTCTCGCCTGCTGCCCTCAGAGCTCTGGGCCCGAGACGGGGCGCTCGCCTGGGGCGAAGGGGTCTGGAGGCGCTTTCCACTGGGCTGGGCCACGGGAGCCGGGCCGGACACGCAGCCAGGATCCCCAGCCAGCACCTACCACACTCCTCTACATCAGGCACCGGGGGGCCTTTGGGGGCAGCTTTTCCCAGCAGCCTCTTGGAGGCAAATTCCAGCTCCTTCTCCACCTGCAAAGGAGGGCAGGGTCAGCGACGGGTCCGCGGCCGGCAGGACTCCCCACCCGGAAACCCATCGCCATTAGAGAACCATTCGCGGAGGGCAGGTTCACCAGTGGCTACTGGCCACGAGGCTCAGGGGCGCACGCCCTGCTCTGGCTGCCAGAACCCGGCAGGGGTGGATCACACAAAGCTGCCCTGTTCTGTTCATTCCCACGGGCTCACCCGGCTCCACCCCCCATCAGCAGACAGGACACTGGGCTAGATAAACCGTCGATCGGACCCAGCGCTCACTGTACTTGGCACCAGCCACACGCTGCCCTCCGATGTCACGCTACGAGAAGCAGCCATCTAAAGACGTGGCGGACACGCATCAGAAGAGAGCTTGGCTCATGCGGGACCAAGTCTTGGCATTTGGCCATAATACATGCAAGTGGGTTAAACACCAAGGGGAGAGGGGAAGGCCATGTAAAAGGGGGTGAGAAGAGGTTACACTGTTTCAAATGAGAAACTGGGCACAAGATTTTAACGACCAGCTGAGAGCGGACTTGCCAAAGACAAGGTCTGTTTGTTCTATGTCCTAGCACTCACCTTTGCCGACAGCGGGATTAAACCGCGGCATCCCAGAGAGAGGCGGGAAAAGAACAGAACCAAGCCAGGGCTTTAGTGCCACAAGAACTCTGTAACTCGTCAAACCGCACGGGAACTGCAGGTCGCTTAAATGCACGGTTCCGAAGCCCGCCTTCCGCGCGGGCTGAACACGCTGCAAGAGACGAGCCGCTCCCCGGAAGGAGGCTGCACCCGTCTCCCTTCCAGACGGTGCTGGTTTGTCTTCAGACAATACGCGTGGTCTCCTGAATGCCGCGAGTGCAGTCCGCGCAGCTGGCTACGCGCTCAGATAACCGCGCGCCTTAGCCAAACACAGCTGGGCGGGCTCGCGCAGGGGGGACCAGGTGCAATTCACTGGCCAGTGCGAGGAAGGAGCACAGACTAGACCATCCGACGACATACAGACCGGTGGCCTGCTGGGACTGGGCTGAACGCAGGGAAGCGCCATGCAACCTACCCTGCCACGCGCCCTGCAGTGCGGCTTCACAGGACACTCCGTGCATAGCGGGGCCCTGGGGGAGCACACAGTGGCTCCCAGCTCCATCACGGCTTGGTTAAAATCCCCTGGGCGGGCTGGATCCACCAGAGCGTTGGCCAAATCCCTAGGACGAAGAGCAGCGAGAAGTGGCAGGCCGGGAGGCATGGTTAGCCCCAGGAACAATCCCTACCACTCACCCAGCAGGGATCCCAGTCCACCCCAAGCAGCTGGGGAGAGGGTCAGAACCTTGACACCAGCTGGACAAGGGCAGAGCCATTCTCAGCCACGGGGGGCTTGCTGTTCTGGTACGCTGGGCGAGTGCTCTAGGCTCCTTCTACTTTACAGGAGCCAGCGGGCGTCAAAGGGCCAGGAGCTCCCCACAGCCTCCCCCCGGGATGGCTATGGAGATGGGGGGCTCCGAACCCCCGGTTCCCGTGCAGAGGAGCAGCCCAAGCTCTGTAGCAGGTAGAGGCTGCCGGCCTTAGGAGCACAGGATTGATCAGCCACTCCTGAAAGCCAGGGGTGTCTGCCTCTTGCAGGCTGCTCCTCTGCTTAGATGGGCCAATAGTCCCAGCCCCGAGCTGGCAAGATGGCCACTTCCGTGACAGATCTCGCTGGTGCTTGGGCGGTGTTGACCAGCCGGCACGATGTAAGCTCTGGCTCCGATGCTGGCGAGGGGACTGTGCTGGTGCACACACCAGTAGGCACAATCCGGTGCTGCAGCAGGGGGAATTTCATCTCCAGGGCCGACCCAATTGCTGCCCGTTCCCTGCATGGGGCCAATTCCCGCCCTCCGGGTTAGCGCTGTTCGGTTGTGCCCCAGGGCGACTGACTGCGTCAGTGCCCTGGTAAGCAGAGGCGAAAGGCTGCCTCCCATTCCCAATCCCCCCTGCTGTGTGTATTACAGCCCCCCGGGATGAGAACAATCCCCTACCAGAGTCTGTTGGTGACAGCCGGGCTGCTGGAGTCGGCGCCAATGCATCGGACCCGGCACAGGACTCGGATCACGTTCCCATCCACCACGCCGGTCGCCTGGCGACAGACAGGAGAGCTGCGGTCAGGACACGGGCGTGCGCATGGGAGGGCATTTGGCCAGGCTGATCACAGGGCCCAGCGACCCCCAACCCAGCCAGGTCTGCTGGGCGGTGCAGCAAGGATGACTGGATCCCAGTGCCTACACGGCAGCACGAGGCTCCCCTCGGTGCCCAGAGAGCCCAGCAGCACTAGAGCTGTCCTGGAGCAAGGAGGGGCCACGAGCTGCTAAGAGCAGCCACAGAGAGAGACACACTCCCCAGACCCGCACCGCAATCCAAGGCCAGCGCAGCCTGACGCCCGGGCAATGCCGGCTCACGTCACCTGCCCGTGCGAGATGGAGGCGTGTATCTCCCCACCCCTGGCAGCAGCTTCTGCAGCTCCTCAGCTGTCCTGGGCATCTGACCTCCCAGCTCGGAAACCACCTGAGGGAAGAGGGGGTAAAGGGGAATCCGTGTGGAACAGCAGAGACCGGACACCTCCCAACGGGAGCTGGGGAGTTTACCTGGCGCGATGGACACGTCAGGCACACGCCGCTCCAGCGCGTTTGGCTTGCACCGGAGGACAGACCCAAGCAATGGGATTTCCCCCGCACCCGCCAGCAGGCCCTAGGGCAATAGCCCGTCCCGCCACAATCGCCCCCCACCAGGGTACCTTCCGTGCCGCTTCCTGCAGCCGCTTCCCTCGGGAGTAGTAGCCAAGTCCTGCCCACAGCTCGTTCACGTCCTGTTCCCAAGACACACAGCCAGGGGTTAGGAGCAGTCGCCCCAGGCCCAGGATTTTCAGCCCCCCATGCGAGGGGAGAGTCTCACCTCCAGGGAAGCTCCGGCGAGGGCCTGCAGCGTGGGCCATTTCTACATTGCAAAGGAAAGAGAGGGGGTTGCTCACTGGCCCGGGCCCGCAGAGCGTGACGAGTGCAGGGCGGACCCGCAGGCTGGCCACGAGACGTGCAATGACCGAGGTTTCAGACGTGCTCAGAAACGCAGGGCTCCGGGCACAGGAGGAACAGCGGACAATCACCTGCATCCACCTGTTGTAATAGTCGATCACCGTAGCCACCTGCGTCTGCTGCAGCATGATCTCCGACACCCACACTGCAGGCACAAAGGGAAAGCGAGGGTGTCCGGGTGGACTGGAAGGCACCTTCCCACCACCCCTAGGCCTGCCCCTTTGCATGAGGTCTCTCTGGGCAGTGGCTGGCACTGGCTCCTGATTCCTGAAGCAGGCTTAGAACTGGGGCCACGAATGCGTCCCCAGTGACTGCCCGGATGATCCGCTGGCAACCACCTTTCCCCCATTTGCATCATGCTGCTCCCAGGCATCTCTCAAACCCAGCCCTGTGAGCCTAAGGGAACAGCGTCTTATCGTCCAGCGTCCTCCCTGTGATGCTGGGTCTGTGCCACGCTGCTGGCCTCTTGCAGAAAGAGGCTGGAGGAGCTTTGGGCTGTGCCTGGTTTCGGGGTGGGCGGTGTCATTTGTTCGGAGTATTATTCTCCGTCAACCCCACAATGCACCCTGCCAGCTCAGCATGCTCTACGCCCACATCGCGCACAGACACTTTCTAGCCGAGAAACGTAGCACACTAGAAGTGGAAGGGATCTCGCGGGGTCACCGAGTCCAGTCCCCTGCCCTCACGGCAGCACCAAGCACCGTCCCGATCAGGGCAGCTCAACATGCGGCCCGTTTGTTTGCGGCCTGCCGTGCGGTTTGGGTTTACACAGGGCTCAACACACGGCCCACGCGTGGGAGCCAAAACAAAAAAAGTGGTCAGTAGTTGAGATGTGTTTTTGTAATTAAATTCCTGGACTGTCACTGCTCGTTCAAAGTGCTGTCCTACGGGTGGAAATCGGGTAAATGTTGCATTGTATTAATATCAGCAGAACTGACTTAAATGGGTGTGTTGTGTAGTCTTGCCTTCATCTTTATACTCATGCCCATCAGTGTGAAAGAAGCTATTTGCATGTCTATGAAACCACACGTCAGTTGTGGCCCTCGGCATGTGCTGTGAGTGTCTTTGTGGCCGATGGGGCTTCCAAAGTTGAGTAGCTCTGCTCTAGATCATCCCTCATAGATGTCTAGCCAACCTGCTCTTAAATATCTCCAGTGTTGGAGGTTCCACAACCTCCCTAGGCAATTTATTCCAGTGTGTGACCACCCTGACTGATAGGAAGTTTTTCCTAATGTCCAACCTAGAGGTCAAGTAGAACAATTTTACCCCCTCCTCCCTGTGACACCCTTTTAGATACTCGAAAACCGCGATCACATCCCCTCTCAGTCTTCTCCTTTCTAAACTAAACAAGCCCAATTCCTTCAGCCTTCCCTTAGAGGTCATGTTTTCTAGACCTTGAATCATTTTTGTTGCTCTTCTCTGGGCCTTCTCCAATTTCTCCACCTCTTTCCTGAAACGTGGTGCCCAGAACTGGACACAACACTCCAGCTGAGACCTGATCAGTGCAGAGTAGAGCGGAAGAATGACTCACAACATGTGTCATGCTCACAACATTTCTGTTAATGCACCCCAGAGAAAAGCAGTCTGAGCAGTAGGCCTGTGCGCTCTGTCTCACCTGCATATGCTCTTCTGTTAGCATCCGGTTCGCTGGCTGCCTGAAGAAAGAAGGAGGAATTTCAGGGAACAGGGCAGAGCCACTTAGCTCCAGACTCTGCCCAGGGAGCAGTGGGGAAAAGGAAAAGGGCCGCACACCTTGTTTGGATAGGGGCATTTGTACTAAAGAGGGAGCATCCAATTCAGCCTGAGTGAGACTCCACCAGTGTTTGAAATGACACCAGTGAGCTTGCAGAAAAGCAGCTTTTCTTGGGAAGTGTTTGGTATCTGATCCCTGGCATCAGACAAAATACATGTAAAAATTATCTTAAGTATAAGAGCTCCTTAAATGGAGCCGTTATATGAATCTTAAGAGATCTGGGATTCACAGCTTCAAACGGTTACTAGCCCCCAGTGTTTCCTGTAAGCTGAGTGCCCACAGCTAGGTTTTGTTTCTCCTGGGGGTGCACATTTGCACAAGCCTCAGTGCACATAAAAATGTATACCATGCACGGATGCAAAAAATCTGCACATGGATAGAAAAGATTAGAGGGAACATTGCTGGCCAGCTGTAAACAACTCCACCCAAAACCTTTTCCTGGTAAACACTTTGTTCTTGCCGAGTTTCTTAGCAAGATCAGATGCCGAGTCAGGTTAGGGGGCCGGGGCTATGGCTGCCTGTTCAGACAACAGGACCTAAGCAGCTCAGGAAACATTTACATACGTGCATGCAAAATATACATATGCAAATAAAAAAGGCGAACAATAGCCTGTTTTCTATGCATAATTTAGATACTATCTAAAGAAAAGACTGGTCCAGAAGTTTCCATTAATGCCGAATTTGGTTTGACCAACTGAAAGCCATTAACAAATCTCTCTTGATCTTGGCATGAGGGAATTCTTAGACCTCGCTCCAGCTAAAAGTTTATCCTGAAGAATAGAATCCCAACAGAGAACCCTTCTCAAAAGCCTCCCCTTTCCTCCAGAATGTAGGTACCGGCACTGTCAGGCTACGTCTACACTGGCCCCTTTTCCGGAAGGGGCATGTAAATTTCACTAGTCGTCGTAGGGAAATCCGCGGGGGATTTAAATATCCCCCGCGGCATTTAAATAAAAATGTCCGCCGCCTACTTTGAAGTAGGAATAAGAGCCTCCGGAAAAGGGCACTTTTTCCGGAGGATCGGGGCCAGTCTAGACGCTCTTTTCCGGCTTTTTTAAAAGCCGGAAAAAAGCGGCGGACATTTTTATTTAAATGCCGCGGGGGATATTTAAATCCCCCGCGGATTTCCCTACGACGACTAGTGAAATTTACATGCCACTTCCGGAAGAGGGGCCAGTGTAGACGTAGCCACAATGCTTAGGATTCTTGCATTGTTGATTCACTGAAATAAAGTAACTTAGAGGTATATTAAATGGATGAGTGCAAGAAAAGTTGAATTTTTCAGTAATATATTAACATGAGAGATGTAAAATCCCATTTAATCAATTAACAGGTGAAATGTAATGCTTAACTGGCCCCTGGCCCACAGTATGGCCCAGCAGCCTGGCACGGACCACTCCCCAAGGATGAGAGCTGGGGCTGACCCAAAGTGGGAACTACAGAACATTGTGCAACCTCAAGGGAAGACAAACGAATAGGCAAGCAGCCAGTGGCTAAGGATTAATGCAAACCTCCCTGCAGCGTTGGCTGCTCAAACCCAACAGATGGGGCCAAGGATGAAAATACTGAATAGAAACACACACGTCTACATGCAGGACCCAAGTTGAAGAAAACATGCCACTTCTGTATCTTCCTCCACTATGTGATCGCAGATGCCACTTTGGTTTTAACGTGAACTGATAGGTTCGTAAGGAAGGACACTACAGGCAGTCCCCGAGTTACGCGGATCCGACTTATGTCGGCTCCGCAGTTACAAACAGGGCTTTTCTTGCCCCGGAGGACGGGAGCGGCGGGACGCCCAGATGCGCCGCGGTCCGCCGCCCCCGTCCTCCGGGGTGAGAAAAGCTGCTCCCCGTCTCCCTGGTCTGCAGGGAGACAGGGAGCAAAGCCTTGGAGCACGCCTGCAGCGGTACAGCCCGGGCGCGCTTGAGCTGTCCCCCTGCGGGCGTGCTCCGCGGCTTTGCTCCCCGTTTCCCGATCAGCAGACCAGGGAGATGGGGAGCAAAGCCGCGGAGCACGCCCGCAGTGGGACAGCCGCGGCGCGCCTGGACTGTCCCGCTGCCCGCGTGCTCTGCGGCTTTGCTCCACGTCGCCCAC